GGGGGCGCCGGGGGCGGGCACCGTGGCGTTGGGGCTGGGGGCGCCGCCTGGCCCGGGGGCCCTGGGGGGCGAGGCGGCGGCAGCGGCGGCAGCGGCGGCCGCGGGATCCGCGACGGGATCGGCAGCGGCGGCAGTGTCGGGAACGGGATCGAGCCGCTCGGGCCAGCAGCAGGGCCCCGGCCGCGGTGCAGCGGGAGCGGCAGCGGGCAGTACTCGCGGCGGCAGCAAGATGGCGACAGCGACCAGCAGCACCCCGTCGTCCGCGCACGGATGGCCCAACACCAAGGAGGATTACGAGCTGAGGGAGGTAATCGGTAAGTGTCCTCGTGCGCCCTGGCGCCTCCACCGAGGCCGGCGACAACCCCCGAAGGGCGGCGAGCCCTGACAGAGGGGTCGCCGTCCACCCCCGTCACTGCTGCCATGGCCTCCCTTCGCTCGGAGCTCGCCCTCCTCCGGGAAGCCGGTTGGACGTTCTACTTAACGTAATGAAGGGCTGCCGTGTCGGGGCGCCAGGCTGGAGCGCCGCGGCCTCGCGGGGCCTAAGTGCAGACCGCCGCGGGCGGACACGTCGGGGGAAAGGCTTTTCTGGAGCCCGGTAGACTGGCGCCCCGCGGCACCATAACCTAAGCATGCAGCTGACAAACCGTTGAGAGGTGGGGTTTCGGTTCCTTATTCTGCGCCACCTGGTCTTAATTTACCTTTTAAAACCATTATCTGGCTCGGCAGCTCCATCTTCAAGTTGTCGCTTCTATTTAATATTCGTCGAGGTGAACTGTCAGCCGCAGGTTAGGTACTCTATGGAATGTTGCTGTTGAATAAAGACACTTTTTGTTGTAAATTTTACATGGTGGGGTAGTTATGTCAATGTTTTCCTCTATATTTTAAAATTTTTAACACTGCTCTCACCTCTTCATGATAGTTGCCTTCCATGTGGTCCGTTTTGAATACTTAACATGTCAAGGTTATATTAACTTTTTTGCCTGGCTAGAACTTATTGTGAGAGACAGCAGTAGCACTGTCATCCTTTGTGCTCTCTTAAAATTAATTGGGTTTGCTATGCAAAGATTTACTAAACCATTTTAATTATGTTGATTATCTTCTTTAAATTTAAATTTTCATACATCTGTACACATTATGACCTTTCCATCTTTGCAGGTGTTGGAGCCACAGCAGTTGTTCACGGAGCACTCTGCAAACCAAGGAACGAAAAATGTGCTATCAAAAGAATAAATCTAGAAAAGTGGAATACGAGTATGGATGAATTGCTGGTATGTATAAATTTATTTTTTGGAATAGTTGTTTTGTTCAAAGTCTTTTTTTATAGCCTTCTATTATTTTTTTATGTATTTATGTTACAGAAAGAGATTCAAGCTATGTCATCATGCAACCATGAGAATGTGGTAACCTATCATACAAGCTTTGTTGTGCGTGAGGAATTATGGCTGGTTCTTAGACTGCTTGAGGGTGGCTCATTGTTGGATATAATCAAACATAAAATGAGGGCTAGCAATTGTCGGCATGGAGTTTTTGATGAATCTACAATTGCTACTGTGCTCAAGGAAGTGTTAAAAGGACTGGAATACTTCCACAGCAATGGCCAAATTCATAGGTATGAGATCTGTCAGAGAGCCATTTGATGATGTTTTTTGCATGTGTGTTTTGTGATGTTTTGTGCTCTTCAGTTTTTATTGAATTTTGCATTGTTTTCAACAGAGACATAAAAGCTGGTAATATTTTGTTGGGAGAAGATGGTACTGTACAGATAGCTGATTTTGGAGTCAGTGCGTGGCTTGCCACTGGAAGGGATTTATCAAGGCAGAAAGTCCGTCACACTTTTGTGGGAACTCCTTGTTGGATGGCTCCAGAAGTCATGGAACAGGTCTGCTAGAACAAGGGATACATAATCCCTTCTAAATAAAAAAAAGAATTACCAGGATTATTTACCTTTTTTTCTGTTATAGGATCATGGATATGATTTCAAAGCTGACATCTGGTCTTTTGGGATTACTGCAATTGAGATGGCCTCAGGAACAGCCCCTTATCATAAATATCCTCCTATGAAAGTTTTGATGCTTACACTTCAGAATGATCCTCCGACGTTGGACACTGGGGCAGAAGATAAGGATCAATATAAGGCATATGGAAAGACATTCCGTAAAATGATTGTGGATTGCTTGCAAAAGGATCCATCAAAGAGGTATGTTCCAATTTTGAAATTGTAGCTGATAAGTCCAAACGTCTCTCAGGACTTTTAAGCAGACTGCAGATGTTGAGTGCAATGTGAAACGTTCATCTGTGTTTCTTTTCAGACCTACTGCTACAGAACTCCTAAAACATCCATTTTTCAAAAAAGCAAAGGACCGTAAATATTTGCAACAAACCTTAGTTGCTATTGGACCTAGCTTGGAAACCAGAGTTCAAAAAGTAAGATCAGTCCTCATTGTTTCACTTAAAATTTCATGTCTATTTAAATTATTTAATTAATAAATGTTCTTTTAGGCGTCTAAACGACAACCTGGTGCATCTGGAAGGCTGCACCGTACTGTCACGGGTGAATGGGTGTGGTCATCAGAAGAGGAGGGCGGTCAATCTTCAGATGATGAGGTATAAAACCACTTTCAAGTAATTTTTCAATAATAATCTTTCTTTTCCCCTTTTATTTGCCATTATATTAATTCTTCTATGTTTTAGTGTGAACCAAAACCGCTTAACTGCATTGAGGCTGGATCTTCAGGCAGTGAGCATGACTTGACAGACAATGATGTTAGTTCTGGAGGAAGTGGTGGACATATGGGTGGTTCTGATGGATCATCAAGCCCTGCTCCTGTCAATCTTGTTTTACGAATGAGGTAATCAATCTAATGATGTAGAAGGGTTGGTCTTTTATTTTATATCCTCTGTTAAGAGACTATACTTACTCCTCTTTTCCTCATCAGAAACCCCAAAAGAGAACTGAATGACATTCGGTTCGAATTTGCTGTAGGGAAGGACAGTGCAGAAGGCATAGCTGCTGAACTAGTTGGTGCGGGTCTAGTGGATGGACGAGACATTGTAGTAATTGCTGCCAATCTCCAAAAACTAATAGATACTCAGTCCCAAAGCAAAACTGTTACTTTCCCTCTGGTAAGTAGATAATTTTTTACTCATACCGGTATATTTTTTTGTTAAGATTTCGCTTACTTACTGGGCTCTATGTTTACACCATTTGTTGTTCAATTTTTCACCCACAACTACACTATTATTTATGCTAAAGGAAGTTAATTTTTTTATCTTTTTACAGAACTCAGGCTATGCAAGCAATGAAACACCTGATGACAAGGCCCTTATTGGCTTTGCCCAGATATCAATAACAGATTGAAGATAGTTCTCTTTAGGGCCATGTTTAATAGTATTTATTATTGGGATGATTTGATTGACTGAATGAATGGAACCAGGTCATAGGTATAATTACTTTCAGTGCTCTTTTTTATTTATCATTACTGTGATTTCTTAGCCCACCAAGTTGTCTCTGAAGTACAAACAAAATTTTTGTGTCCCTATGTGAAATTTATGGTTTTAGCAGGTCATTGAAGTGAATATAATATCAGTATTTTCTTTATCATATTCTCATTCTAGTTGGATAGATCATCAAATCAGTGTCTTAACAGTGAGCTACAAATACTTTGGCCTATACTAGTGTGTGGTAAACCTTTCATACTCTGTCATAATGAAATATTGAAGTTCCAGGTCTAGTTTTCTACTTTTATGAAATTTCAATTGTACCAGTTATTTAACGAGTAATTTTCTCTTTTTATACTAAAACTGATCACTGTGGCAATCAGACAATGTCTTTAACGAATAGCTCAAAACTGTAGTTCTTTTTATCCCTCTATATTTATTGTAAAAATTAAATGACCTAAATATTTTGATCTTTCTATCTATTTGAGAGAGTTATAATTTGTTCCTATTGCTATGCTCACAATCATAGTCAGAAGCACAATCATTTTCAGTCTCTCTTGCCTGGTATATAAATCAATTTCAAACTATTGGCTAAATTTCTGCTCGTAAGTTTGATATGGAAGTGATATTATCGAACTGTCCATTTCCTGCTTTTACTTCATGAGCAATCCTTAGCTTATTTCTCTATCAACCTTTGCCTGTCTTCGTTATTTAGTAAGGTGAAGGTCCATTTATGATAAATTGAAGCATTTATGTAATAGTAGACTTGAGTAAAGGAGGATTATCTGTTTTTGAGCAAAAAGTAAAGGGAATGTCAGCTGCAGATTGTAAGTGTAAACTTAAATGTGGTCATAAATTTTTGATTTTGAGGAGGATTTTTAAATTGAGATACTTCTCATCATTCTGAATTGTCAATTTACTATGTGCCTGATGGTATGTGGATGCCAGTGAATGCTCGGATATTGGTATCTTTCATGTGTGGCTGATTTCCTTTGTAGTCTGGTAATTAGTCTTAATTTGAGTCCTGTGTTTTTGAGGGGTAGGGAACATGTGTGTTCATACTGGTTTATTTATTTTTTACCTTAAAGTACGCCACTTCTTTCCCAGTGTAGCATAAATATTAGAGCTGTTGTAGAGCCAAAATGACCTAGCTAGGGAAAATAAAACTTTTGTTAACACTGTCAAAGTGGTTCCTCTATGTGTAAATAGCTCCTATTGTTAAATTTCTTTCGCCTTCTTATAACCATGATATGTTTATTGAAAATGTTCAATAATCTCTATTGAGCTTTGCTCTTAACAGGAGTTATACCTTGAACCATGTACTTACAATTCCATATACTGTTTAGTGTAGTCCTCTGGAAAGTTAACCTCTCACTCCCTAAATTGTTGGATGAAAGGGAAGTAAAATTGATCAACATCCCAGTGCGTGTGTTTCACTTCCATGTTTATGTCCGAAATGAAATTAATGCAAAATGAGTGCTTTGTATTGTGTATATTGTTCAATTTGTTGATTGTTATCCTGGTTGCCTGTGTCCGTATGGCGCCTATTTTGACCAGTTTTCAAGTAGAGTATAATTTATTTGTTATTTAATTTTCCATGTAAATTATTCAAAATGCACAATTTTTTCTTGATGATATATGCGTATTCCGCAGACAATAGTCATATTTTCTTGGACATATTTTGTGATAGGATGTGACAGAAAAGTGTGCTTTTTTAAAGGTGACATTTTACTGTCCTGCCCTCTGCAGATTAAATCAATTCTGTCGCCTTTATGCCAGAAATAAGTCTTCATTTATCTTCATCAAATTGAACTCCTTTCTCATTGTAGCAATATTGTGTGTTTATGCATTGTAGGGCAAAGTACTACTTAAAGGTGTGAATTTTAATGCATAAACTTGACTATCCTTGCTGTGATGATGCTTTTCTACTTCAGATGAAATGAAAACAATAAAATAGTAGTCAAAGTAATCTCTGATATCTGATTTAACTTACCTACTGTTACTCAACCTGCATCAGGAAGCTCATCATGAGTCAAGGTCATAAAGAAAAAATGGATTGATTTATTCAACATCCTTGAAGCATCATACATTGAAATATCACAGATAGAGTTCATTTACTTAAACTTATTACCAGACTTTGAACAAATTTTAAACACACCTCCTTTTATTTTGAACTATTCTCTAACAGTTCCACTACTTTTCAGTCTAATGGAATGCTCATAAGGCTTAAAATCAATATAAGATAATGAAGAGTTTGGACCGTTGTTACACATCTCTTGGAAAAGTTTCTGCTTCCTAGCTTCATTCTTACCATAGTGGGTGGCAGTTGAATTTTATTACCAATAGATCATATTTTCAGATCCTGGTAGAACTTACTCCATAGCTTGAAAGAAGCAGGCTTGTATCCATCCTGAATTTTATTGAGAACATCAATTTGCATTACTGGTTTCTCTCTTTTGGTTACTTGTCGCCATCTAGTTGGGACACTAGATGATGTTGGTGTGGGATGTCTAAAAAGTCATCAATTTGTGGGCAAAAAGAAAAGAAAAATCAAAACCAGCAACTAAAATTAAACTTAATTTCACTAGCTTCACTCACCCTGTTTTCACAAAATTTGTGAAAAGTGTAATAATATTTTTCCGCACTTGAAATTCGGGGTCAGTACTTTGAAGAGGAATGTGAGGTAAGGCATCCATGTGAAACAGATAATTTAGCTCATCACAGTGACTTACACCCTCAAAATCTGAAACAATTAGACATCCTAAGATTAAACAGCAAATTAAGAACAATACTAATTCTTTTTGCAAAATCAGTGGATTGCACTTGCCTTCGAAGCTGAACATCACCATTCTCCTGAAAAGATTCAGTCTTCCACTGTGCGTGAAATTGTAGGCAAAGACAGGTTCTGTAGACACAGCTGATACCTCTGTCATGGCGCGATGAGTGTCCATCTCAAACATAAGCATGCCATAGAACTGTGATGAAACAGAAGTTCACCTCCGTGAGACCAAAAATAAGAAATCAGAACTCGAAGGTACGAAAGAAAATAAACCCACATCAACAAATTGGTCTAGAGAGCTCTGAGTAATTTTACTCTTGCCAAAATAAAATTCTCTAACAGCGGCTTCCGCTTTTCGAAGGGCATCGGAGCCGCGGGGCAGAGCCTCACGCATGTATTCTGGCAGAGCGCAGTAAAAGTCGGCCTCGACCATGGCCATTTGCTCTTCAACAGACTTATTCTTGGCTGGAGCACCTAAAAAGACGAATAGCGAGCATAGTCAATGAGCATGAGACAGTCGAGCGCAGTCCGGTCTTCCCCCGATCCCACCCGCCGCTCACTCATGAAGGCGAAGAAGCCCTCCTGGGCGGTGAGCCCCAGCATGACGGGCACCTGGTGGAAGCGGCCGGCGCGGATGAGCTCCAAGGGCGGCGCCGACAGAAGGGTACCGTCCATGGTGGGCTGGAAGGGGAACTCGTCCATGAGCCACCGGCCCTCCTGTGGGAACACGTGCCATTAGCAACAAGAAAAGCAAGTCTTGAAAGTCTTCGAAACACGTCAAGCAATGCTGCAGCTCTCACCACCTGCCCGTCGCCGAAATTGTCCATGACCGCCAGATGACGGGCGTCAACCTCGCGGAGGAAGCGGAGGACGTCCTCTGGGTCCTCCATGTCCGGCGCGGCGGGGCCGTGGGGCCCACCGGCCGCCTCGGGCCGCAGCAGGCGCTCCACCATGTGGCGCGTGCGTTCCAGGGCCTTCTGCGGGGTGCTGTAGGCCCAGTGGTGCAGCGCGGTCCCGGACATGGCGATCACCCGGTGGAAGAGGCCTGCAGCAGACACGGCGCGGGGGGCTTAGGGTAGGCAAGCCCGCGCGACACGCGTGCTGCCGCGCGGCCCACCTCCCGGGCGGACTCACCCTTGGTGCTCGGCATGAGGGTGAGGTAGTGCGCGAGCGCGCCGCCCGCCGACTGCCCCATCACCGTCACCTTGGCCGGGTCGCCGCCGAAGCGCGCGATGTTGTCGTGCACCCAGCGCAGGGCGGCGGCGGCGTCCTTCAGCCCCACGTTGCCCACGCGGAGGGGCTTGCCGGCCTCGCCGAGCGCCAGGAAGCCCAGCGGGCCCAGGCGGTACTTGGCCGTCACCAGCACCACGCCGTGCTCCATCATGTACTGCGGCCCGACCACGTCCACGCCGTTGTCGCCGTGCACGAAGGCCCCGCCGTGGAAGTACACGACCACGGGTAGCGGCGAGCCGCCGTCGCCGCCCACCTGCGAGGAGGACACACGCGGTCAGAAATAATTGCGGGGGACCGTGTGCGGCGGGAGGTACAGTCCGGGAGCCAACCGCAGAGACAGTCGGACCAGCACAGCACCTTGGTGGTGAAGACGTTGACGTGCAGGCAATCCTCGCTCTGCCGCGTCAGCTTAATGGCACGCCGGACGAGTGCGGGCACGGCGCCCAGGAAGCGGACCACGTCGAGGGCCGAGACGTTCTTCTGCAAGCAAACCGGATGAGGTTCGAAGCGAACACACCCTAATGAATCAATAACATGGAAGTCTGTGACGGAGTCCTCACCGGCACGCCCATGGGCAGCTTGAGGGGCGCCTGCACGCAGACCGGTCCGTCGTCGCGCGCGTCGCGGACCTCCGGGGCCCAGGAGGCGGGCGGCGCTGGGTCCTGGAAGCGCAGCGGGCCGACGGGCGGCGCGGCGTAGGGGATGCCCTGGAAGGCGAAGTACTCCGTGCCCGACTCGGTGAGGGCCGAGCGACCCTGGACGGGGCCCTGCTGCACCTCGACGACGGGGCCTGAGGGAAGTCCCAGCATTGTATTATATCAATCAGTCATCGTATTGCGATCAACTTCAACTTCTAATACAGCGAATTAAATCACTCACTCAACGAGTTCCAGTAGTTGTGGTACTCGGTGGCTCGATACAAGCCGAGGGCCAGCGCTGCCATGATCAAAGGGGTCTTCCATTTCGACGATGACGGCTGTGCCACTGTGCCTGCGCCTCAAAAAGAATAGAAATAGACAAACAGGAAGACTAATTTGGGCCTTCTCTATCTCTGATTGCCCCCCTCCCTCCCTTCCGCTTTCCCGCAAGCAGAGCACTGGGTCTCTGTCAGTCTCTGTATGGGCGGCGCACGGCAGACCTTGACCGAGGCGGCAGGCGGCAGCGGTCAGAGGGGCGTAAACACGTTTATACAAGGGGGGCACACAAAACACACCGCTCCCGCGGAGCGAGCCGTCAGGCATGGCCACAAAGACACGGGTGAGCAGCCATAACTCTCGCCATAAACGGGAGCGGTGGGTCCACCCGCGGCATTCAAGGCCCAAATCATAAACGTGACGATCAGACAGTTTTTCTGTTCGCGCTCTCCCACCCCGCGACCCGCGACTATACATGTCGAATTCGTGAGCGCTTATTGAACACCTCACAAAAAGACACAGCACGACCTGTTTGTTACGTGCGGTGGGGGCGAAGAATGCGCAAGTGAAGCCCCCCACATGCAAAAGGGTCATGAGGCGCAGGAGGGACGAACACCACCCCAGCCAGGTAATACACGATTAGCGTGCCACACACTTGTTAGAGAAGGGCGTGCTACTCACCACCTGACTTGTTGTCCCTCTTGGGGGTCCGCTTCTTACTCTCCGAGCCCATTTTTATCTGAAATTGATAACAGAAACAGAGGGTATAATGGTCATTAGTAGATTAGTGGTCGATGAGCAGTGAAGGGCATAGCCGGGGCGGCGGGGAGGCAGTCGGGTCGGGGGTCATAGCGATGCAGATGGGGGAAGGGGCTGAATCCCTCCATGCCACATGCGGGACAGAAGTCATGGTCCCGCCACTCAGACGCACCTCCGTGGTCACACTGTGGTCACACCCGGGGTCCACCTCGCTAGTCGATCGCTCCTCGCCGGCCGGCCGGCGTACGCGCACTGGCTGGCGGGGCCCGCCACGCCGCGACCCGCCACACTCCGTGCCACGCCACGCCACGCCACGCCACGCCACGCCACGCCACGCCACGCCACGCCACGCCACGCCACGCCACGCCACGCCACCGACACAGCGGTCCTACACGCCCGTGCCTCGCCGCGGGCCGAAAGGATTAGATGAGTCCAGAGTCCACTGGTGTCCCCCCCCTCCAACCTCTCGGTCAAGAAAGGGGGGAACTGGGGGGGGGGGGAGCGGCTCCTCGTCCTGGAATTCGTTTTATGGGGGAAGGCACGCTCGTACGCTCGTAAAGCAGTCGCATAGCAGCCCTCCTGGATTGGAAGAAAGAACATCAGACCTCGTCTCCGGGGGGCCCCCAGTCGCGCTCGACCCTCGGTGGTGTCATTTTGGAGCGGAGAGTGTGCCGAGGTGGCGGAAGCAATAGGACAATAGGACAGCAGTACGGTGTGCACTCGCGGGGCTCTGATTGCCACAGTGGCGAGGGGGGTGGGCGGGGGGTGTGGGTGATCTCAGCGTGTCATGCCATTCATAGATAACAGGAAAAGCCCACACTGCACGTCTGAGGTTAGGCGTACTTAGGTTGTACTGGTTTCAACACATGGAAAAGCAACAAAATAAGAGGAAGTTGCTCCCCCGGAGCAAACTCCCCATATCACACGGCATCGCGGTGGTGCCAAACAGAGGGTCACCAATGTTTTCATTGATCCAAATGTTTTGGTGGAGTCTGAAACGCTAACGATTAAGGTCGCTATCGCATCAAGCCGGCCGGCGGCCAGTGTACAAACGTTGAGTCACTCGGCTCACTCGGGGCGGAGAACCACATGGTACCTAACGCGGACGAACTCAAACAGCGCCGCGATTGGCGCCAAGTGGGGGTGAGGTGGTTGCCCCCGGCCGGACGGCCGGACCCTGTCATGATGCCCACAGTCCGAGCTCAGCCCACCCCACTGCCCGCCTCCGAAGACAAATTAAAAATCAATTTACCTCGACCTGGTGGAGGTGGTGACATTGGTTGCTCTCGTACTTCACTTTGCGGACAGCAGCATCCGAATCGACTGCTGCTAGCAGAAAACTTTTCGGATGGTCGAGCAAATGTCAAGACAGACGAAAGCTGGTAACCCAAGAGCCCCCGTAGATTTTCTGAAATATGACGAACGGCAATTTTAAAGAAAAGCAAGTTTTTATAATAAAAAATTGTTACTATGAATGGTTATAATATTTACTAAAAAGGCTTGAAACGTGTTGAAAAGTATACTTTTTACTTTGAAAGCGTATCTCTTATGTTGGCTACCTTGTTTGTTTTTCATGATAGGCAACAACAAGACATTTCGTGTGGTTTATTTATCGTTGCCATTTATTCGGTGGTTATTCATTTGAGCAAAGTTGACTTAAAATCGAAATCCAGATGTAGGATCGTTAGACAGTTTTCTTCTTTATTGAAAAAGATGTAACTCATTTGTTATGGAAATAGGGCGTGTTGCTGCTTGAAAGATATCGATTCGTGACGTCAGTTTGGTGCGTATTTACCACATTAAGACATAAGAGGTGAAGTTGTTGTCTCACGTCCTGTGCCCATAAGATATGGATGGAGTTGTGCTTTTAACGCAGATTTCACCGTGAAATATCGGAATTGAACTTATTTTCCGATTTTGTTCACTAGTGTACACAATCTGTAAAATATGGCTGAGCTAAGAAAAAGGCACACCGAGACGGCGGCAGCAGAAGACTCAGACAAGGGCCAAGAGATTGACAGTGATCCGGTTAGTATTGCAATTATCTGTATCCCTCTTTCGTTTCAATGCCTGTTTTTTTTAAAACATTTGATGTCATAGCTTATTTAACACCTTAGTATCCTACTGTGGCCCCTCTGTAGCTGTTACAATTTGCCTAGTGTTAGATGACAATAACGTTGTTTTGATTTGGTACCTAATTTATCTTGGAATTTTGTGCTCATCATACTTATTTTATATGTCTTCAGCGTGAAGATTTGGATTCAGAAGATGACAAAAGTCCTGATGAAAAAGCAGACATTGTCCTTACAAAAACCATTCCAACGGGAACTGACAAGACGCCTGAAATTTTGGACTCTGCTCTAAAGGGATTCTCAGATAGGTAAGTTTGGAGTAGTTAATAGACCATTCAGGTACGCTGCTGCCTATATTTTTCTTGCACAGGTATAATAATAGCTGAAGAGGCTTAACAATTATTATTTTTACCACAACTATAATGATTCTAGTTCTATCTTTATAACAGAAGGCTTAGCAATTGCATTATTTTTGCACCTACACTGACTGGGACTCAGTTATGATTTTGGTTACTTTATTGTAAAATAAATGGCATTTTATAGATGGCGCAACTGGACAATCCGAGGAATTTTCACTTTTGTGATGATTGGCGGCTTTGGCTTGTTGATATATGCAGGGCCATTAGCCCTGATGGTAGCGGTAAGTTATTGACCAAATAGTACTGGTTTATACTGTAGTAAGCATGGTGTATTAATTTTTTAACCATTTAATTTGGTTTTAGACATTGATAGTACAAGTAAAGTGCTTTGAAGAAATCATTAACATTGGATATGCAGTCTACCGTATTCACGGTCTGCCTTGGTTCCGTTCTCTGTCATGGTACTTCCTCATCACATCTAATTACTTCTTTTATGGAGAGAGCTTAGTTGATTATTTCAGTGTTGTCATCAACAAGCAAGTAAGTGTAGATGAATATGATGGATTTTTAGTGTCAGCACTCCAAATTTAAATTTTACTAAACTTCTATTCATTGCAGGATTACTTGAGAGTTCTGGTGACATACCACCGTTTCTTCTCATTCTGCCTTTACATTGTGGGATTTGTATGGTTTGTTCTTTCACTTGTGAAAAAGTATTACATGAAACAATTCTCTCTGTTTGCTTGGACACATGTTGCTCTCCTAATAGTTGTCACTCAGAGCTACCTCATCATACAGAATATTTTTGAAGGTCTGATTTGGTAAGTAAATGTTAAACACTGAAGTTGCCCAAAATGAAGTTTTATTCCTAAATTTGACATTTTATTTGTTTTACATCTAGGTTCATTGTGCCCGTATCAATGATTGTGATAAATGATGTTTGGGCATATATATTTGGCTTTTTCCTTGGACGCACACCATTGATCAAGCTTTCTCCTAAGAAAACTTGGGAAGGATTCATTGGGGGTGGGCTGGCTACTGTCTTCTTTGGACTTTTGGTAATATTTCTAATGCTGCCAATATAGAAATGAAAATTTGTTGTACTTTCTCATCACACAAATACTTCTTGCCTTCATTTTCTCAACAGATGTCATACGTTATGTGTCAATATCAGTACTTTGTCTGTCCTATTGAGTACAGCGAAACTCAGGGTGCTATGACAATGGAATGTGAGCCCTCCCGTTTGTTCCGCCTTGAGGAGTATACTCTTCCTGAAACCATGTCTGGTCTCCTAAAATTGGTGTGTATTACTAGAAAGAAAGTCAGTGCCTATGACATCAAATTAGTACTTATTCCCACATGTTTCCTTTTTTTAAAAGGTTGGAGTGAAAAATACAGTCACTTTGTATCCCTTCATGCTCCACTCCCTCTCAATGTCTACCTTCAGCTCTGTCATTGGTCCATTTGGTGGCTTCTTTGCTAGTGGTTTTAAACGAGCATTTAAAATCAAAGTAAGTAACCTCAGTGACTTTTCTTTTTCTCTGTGAACTGTTTTATCACTTCAAATGATTTTCTTTCGTAGGACTTTGGTGATGTTATCCCTGGTCATGGTGGTATCATGGATCGCTTTGACTGCCAGTATTTGATGGCAACATTTGTGAATGTTTATATTTCCAGCTTTATTCACAACCAGTCTCCTCAGAAATTGCTACAAATGGTATGTGAAGCATAATAAGAAATTAGAGTTTATCACTGGTCTCATCAAAATTAAGGAAAAATTTTAATGGTCTCTTTAAATACTTGCAGGTTCTGTCCCTGAAGCCCGAACAGCAGTTAAATCTCTTCTATACTCTAAAAGAGAATCTTGAGAAGCGGGGTATTGTACAACCCCCTTAAATACTTAATATTTTGCTTAATCTTACTTTTTTTTTCTTGCCGTGCTTTCATCTGCATGTTACATCCTTGCTTTCAGATCATTCCAAGAAAATGCTTACTTTTCATATGTCTTGTTTTAATTAATATTTCTTTTATCAACAAATCCATATGGTAAACTGTTTTTATAATGATATCTCATGTACCTCAATGAGCAAACACTAATCTATCACTTTTGTTTAACCTTCAGCCAGTATTGTGTACTTTGATGTAGGCGATTGACGTTCATAATACTTAGTTTTAAAGCTGAAAGAATTACATCACTAATTATGTATCAAAGTGCAATAACCACGACATTAACTAAACAAGAAATCTCACCCATTTAATATACTAGGAAGTGTTCTTTTATGTATGAGCTGGTTCATTACAAAGCCTGACCATACAACCTCATCTTAGAGCAGATATGATTTTTATATCGTAATGAGTATTAGTTGTGCAGCTTATTATATTTACTCCAGTTGCTCTTGTAAATTTTCTCATTTTGCATACAGTTTACTGCTATTCTTTGCATTTGAATGTTTGAATGATAAATAGAGCCCTTCCGTTCAAATTTAATTAAGGTGCAATTCATTGATGTTCAACTAGCGTAGAAAAATGCTCCCTTTTATATTCTTATTGTGTTTGTTTAACATTATGTTGTAAATGCATTATGTTGCATTATGTTAAAAGACATCTTAAAATTTTCATATCACATGAAAAGATTGTAGTTTATGTTTGTGATGATATGCATTCATTTTAATTTAGTTGGAGCTTTAGTAAATTATTATTGGTGTCCTGAACTTCAATTAAGTAGTTAGTTAGAATTCCCTTTGTATGTGTTCATGATGAAAAAAAAAAATCACCTCAGTGGAAATGAAGTATATATTATCTTCATGAAAAATAATACTAGTCAGTAGCTAACTGTGCAACATCTGATCAACACATTAGCTCACATTATAGCCCTGTTAAAAGAAGAAAGTTGTCTGTTATGCTTTTTGTTTGATCTAATGACTTATTGATCTGCTCTGTATTTTATCCATGTTTCATGTTATTATAATAATATGCTGCCAAGATCTAAATGCTACGCTATTATACAATTTCAAAGTTTTCAAGAAAATTTTCCTGAGAATGGCACTGCATTTTTTTTAACATATTTTTTTTTGTACAAAAATAAGTTAGCAATTTTAAATGTTTTGCTTCTTGTGCCAATGTACCTTTCGGCTAGTGTTTTTATTGAACGTATTCTGTTTATAACCTCTATAGATTTTTATCTTTTCATGGCATTTATACTTACTGCTGGTAAGACATTTTACAAGGATGTATTGAAAAATTCATGTCATGTACATCAGTGTGTGCTTTCATTTGCTTGTCGTGTTTCCAGTATTACAAGCTGCAAGTTTTGATCAATTATGTGCCTTCCCTGTTAACCCTTTTCCTTTCTATTCTGATTGCTGATTGGAATTGTTACTTGTAAGATGATTCACCTAAGTCGTTTTCTCCACGTTCAGACAAGTTTTGTTGTTTTTAAATGCAAAGTATGTCGTAAAACAGAAGATAGAGCTTTTAAAAGCCTTCTTTGTTCTTCCATTTTCAGTAATTTAAGCTGAAAATTCATGTTTTGCACTCGCTGCTACTGAATATTCTATATTTCTATATAGATAATTGATGCCCTCTATAACTAACTGGATGTGTTATGACTTTATTATGTGGTATTTATGTTTTTCATTTGTACTGTACCTGGTTTAGGACTATCAATCAGCAGACCTGGTCAGTAGCAACACATTTTGGCATTGGTTGGTCATTTAAACAGTTTCTTTGGAATGTTGGAAAATTGATGAGCACACGCTTATGGTTGAGTTTGTTGTGATTGTATTTTTTAAAAACACCTATGCGAATTGTGGCTTTTGTTTGGTTGAAGGGTGGATGCTTACATGGCTCTGTAATAGTTTTGGTGTTGGTTTCTAGATCTTTGAGCTTCTCCCCTTGGTGCAAATTTTATGGAAGATTTGCTTGTGATAGATTATCAAATGAGTCATATGTATTTAGGAACGGCACATTTGATATTTTGTCAGGTGCAATGCATCATGTAAAGGTGGTGGATCATTTATGAAGTAGTTATATTTCGGTAGTGGTGTTTCATATTCAATAACCTTAGACTGGACCGCTCTTAATGCATTGTGGGGCTTTTGAAATATATCTACATGTTTTCAAGAAAATTGTTTCTTGCCAGTTCACAGTTTGAAAGAGATCACATGCAGGCATTTAAAGGTTCATCTCCATTGCGTCTTGGTTGCATGTGAATTTTATTATTCTCTACTAGTTAACACATTAAGGCAACATTTAGTATACATATGTAGATCCCAAGTTGAAGCTTCTTTTCTATCCCATATAGCATCCACCCCTTGAATTTATGAGACATTATGTGTAAAACATAAACTGCTGGTTATTGGACCCTTATGTTGTACATGTTTTTCGGTCAAAATTGATTTTTGACTTGTAATGTGTATTGTGTCTTTCAGCACACAACAGCATAGGCACAGACCTCTACAAGGAGGAAAATCATGTCTTTTTGCGTTGTGTTGATCAAAATTTATTTAGGAGTCAATTACTGTCAGACTTCTTGTGACTAATAAATGGTACTAATAAGTCTCTGTGGTTTGTGCTGCCTTGCTGTTTGTGCTTGTAGACATTATTTTATTTTACTGATATTTTTTTTGTTTTTGTTTACACTTTTTCTGTTTCAAAAAAGATACAGCCTGTCAATAGTTATGTAGCTGCTCTCATGTTACTGTGAAAATACAAATTAGTGTTTTTATTATGTTCTTATTGCTTTAAACTGGGTGCATTTTGATTATTTTGTAGTGAAGCAATGTAGCTTTTGGTCTCACTTATTGTAAACTCGAATCATCGCTCTTAAATGTTTGTGTTACGACTGACAATTGTCAGGGTATCTGGTCAGTCAATATTTCACCATTTGCAGCAGGCTGCCAAATATGCAACTTGAGATCCCTTGTATGAATTCTAATGCTTTCTAGGATTGTGGACCAATTGAGTTCATACTTATGGGATCTGGTGGAAAGTAATAAAAATCAGATTTTCCCCTAACATTTTCTTGATAGAATTCTATCTATAAATCATGTACTAAGAAGTGATATATAATGTGTTAGTAAACAGGTCTTTGTTGTCTAGTTATTACGTGTTGTGTGTGGTTGTCTTAAGTATACTATATAGTTTATGTAGTGAGAATGAATTCAATGTTTGTTGTATTTATGTGCTGTTTGAAAGTTTATGTCTGAGACTTAAATTTGCCAGTGTTGTTTTACTTTTTCCAAAATTGTAACCTATCTGCAATTTGTTGAAGTTTGCAGTTTTGATCTTGTTTTTAAATTGAATATCTGTAATATCTGCAGGTCGTACGGCTGAGCGTAGATTTTGAGGTTCTACTTCATTAGTTTTATGGAGTCCCTTTCCTCAGACGCACTTTGGATTGGTTTATCCCATTTCATTTTCTAAATTATTGCTCCTCATTTTTGTTTCAAAGAAAACGTTTCTGTGCCAAAGTATCAGTTTTCCGGTAGGGTTTTGTTGGAGAGAGGCATGCTCCTCTCACGCAGAAGAAGATTTCTCTTTCACCTCAATTTTGAAAAGTGTTTTCAATTTTCCTGCATTTTGCTTCTTGAGACATGTGATTTAACCACTTTTCCTGTAAATGCTGTTCACTGTAGGTTCTAATCTTTGACATCAGAGCTCTTGAAATGTCTCTCTATACTGGAGTTAACAAAGTGTAGCACGTTTTTAGAAGTTTATTCATCTTCATGTTGTATCGTAATTCATCTACTTTATCACAATTTTAAACTATTACTTAGTGCGGTACGCATCAGCAAGTGTGGTTAGATATTTGATTCTAAAAATAATAAATACTACCGTAGCTCATATTTATGAGTGTATTTTGCTTCTTTGCGTCAGTAATTGTTTGCTTTTGTTCCATTTCCTATTGAGTGACTTCCATTAGTTTGACATGCCTTGGAGGAAATCTAAACATTCTGCAACGACATCTCTCTGTTTTTATAAAAGATTTGAATGTGATTGTGTAGAAAAAAAGAATGAAAAGGAATCAGTTTCTCTAACTTCAGAAATTATTGAGGGCAAATTTATGTATTAGAGCCATAGGTGCTAATAAAACTGAATGTTGAATTACGTGATATTTTCCTTTCTATCTAATGATATGACTTTTCTTCAACGTACAAAACAGCTAGTTTCATGACTTGAAATCAGAAGAGATGGGCTTTATGGGCCTTTACTGTGCGCATGAGTTTTATAAATAGTTTGTCTCTGTCAAATTACACTTTGCTTCTAATATATGCAATTCCAAAATTTGCAATGATAATAACAAGTTCAAAAGATAAAAAATAGT